TTTTTTTTTTTGTATTTAATGACCTAAGAAAGTTACAAAAGCAACTTTAAATTACATTTAGGTATATAAGCTAATTAAATATATTTAGCTAACACTGAGAAAATAAATCCCAAGCACCATGAAGACAAAAAACAATAAGAGATGAGTAATTCCAGGATAATTAAGGATTTTGAGTTGGAGACCACTGAAAGTTGACCTCATTCTCATTTTCCAACAGCAAATGAGTGATTAGCTCAGATTTTATTAAGTTCTGAATTCTGGGAGAACAATTTTATGACTCATCCCATTTTTTTGGCCAGTTGCTAATTTCAGGAATGGCAGCTTGTTGGGAATTTCAGTGGCATTTTCAGAGGATTCCGAACACTAAATCGACCAGCGAAAGAACGGTCGAGGCAAGATAAAATGGAAAATGTGAAAAGGAAATGGTAATTCTTGTGTTTCTCAATGCTGCCAATCCATATTCCAAACCCACAAGTGGTGAACACACATTCCCCAAAAGACCAGGAATAAATAACAGCTACTTTTATTCTCTAAGAACCTTGGGAACGAGGAACTCGCGACGATGCTGATGGAGAATCCAAGAACTCCACGAATCCCAAGAGGCCAAAAGGAGCTGGAGGGCTCAGTGGCCACTGAGCTTCCTCATGATGGGGCTGTGGGGCTCAGCGTTGGTGAAGATGCTGCCCACCACCACGTGGGTACCCCAAAGGTTGTGCCTGATCACCTTGCAGCAGCCCAGGTCATCCACGGCAAAGCCCAAGTGCCGGTAGCGCTCGTCGGTCTCCAGCAGGGAGTCGTTGGTGTAAGGCCCGAAAAACTGGAGGAAAATAGCAACACAATACAAATTTTCCACGTGAGGATTTGAATTCTGATGGATGGTTGAAGGATAAGCCCGAGTTTAGCTGTGTGGAGAAGTTTAGTGTTGAGCTGGAAAGGTTTTCCTTTCAAATCTCAATCCCACCAGCACTTTTGGAAAAGTGCGGGTCGGATTGGATTGGTTTTTCTGCTGCCTCTGCAGGAATTAAGGCAGAACCCTGCTAGGAACAGCACAAACAGGGCATGGACTAAGGAGAGAAACTTCCTAGGAAAATGCAAAAGTTAACAATTTAACTTTGCAAAAAGACCCAAAAGAAAGGTGGTTAGAGGAGCAACAATGCGATTAACTTGCAAACAGATATTCAAATGAAACTGGTATTTAAATAAAACTGGTATTTAAGTATTCAAATGAAACTGGTACTTAAATTAAACTGGTATTTAAGTATTTATATTAAACTGGGATTTAAGTATTCATATTAAACTGGGATTTAAGTATTCATATTAAACTGGGATTTAAGTCGCACACAGATATTTCAGTTCTTTATCTCAAGAGGAAGATTCTGACTTGAAACCCACTCCTGATTCTGGGCCAGGATGTTACTGCTGGAGTCTGAAGACAAAACCCAACTTCCATCAATCCCCAATTCCTTCAATGTCTGGAATTCTGGGAAGCTTCTCCAGCCCTGAAGGGCCTGTTCTGCCTTCCAGCCATGCCCTGTTTGCCTCTGTTGGCACAATAAATCCCTGCTTTTTGTAGTGTTTTTAAATCAAACCCCACTAAGCCCAGCTTTGCCCCCGTCCCCTTGAACCGTGCTACGGTTTTAGCCGAGCTCAAACTAAAATCCATCTCCCACTGAAAGCTCCCACTGTTCCACAGCAACAAAAAGTTCATTTTTTTGGGGACAAAAGGATCATTAACAGGTGCAAAGAGGTTTTTTAAAGCCTTCACCCGCACAGGTGTCAGGGTTCCCAAGTTACCTGGGCAGGGCAGAAATACCCAAGGGATTTGGGGAATAAAACTTCTCCAGTTCCCTAAAAGCCAATTTCATTTCCTGACAATGCTGCTCCTGCACTCAGAGCTGCCACAGCTGAGCTCATAAATCTTAATTAATTCAAGGAATTATCCTGAAAAAGTTGGATTTAAGCCATATTCCACAGAGCAAGAAAGAACTTACTGCCAGTCCTGAGGTGGGATCAATGAAATCAGCCCAGTAGCCCTCAGCAGCAATTGCATAGCAGATTTCCTTGGCACCATTGATGAACTGGAAGGGAAAAATTTGGGAAAAGAAAAGTATCACATGAGGTTATCACACAAAATTAATAACTTCTCACTCTACCTGTTATAAATAAAATCCTTCATTTACTTACAGTTGTAAAAATTGGATTTTTCTCTGCAATTAGTGCACTAAGAAGCTCAAGGTTCCAAATTTATAAAAATATGATTTATTCAACTTCAGTCTCTTAAAGGTCCAAAAAAGGGAAATTTACCCTTTACAGCAGATTCTGTATTAGTTCAAAATAAGGAAAATTTACCCCTTGCAATAAAGTATGAGGGATTTTTACCCTTAAGAGAAAATTCTGTGTTAGTCCAAATTAAGGGAATTTTCCCCTTTATAGTAAATTCTGCGTTAGTTCAAAATAAGGAAAATTTATCCTTTACAGTAAATTCTATATTAGATCAATATGAGGCAATTTTATCCTTTGCAATACAAAATAAGGGAATTTTCCCCTTTACAGTCAATTCTGTGTTAGTTCAAAATAAGGCAAATTTATCCTTTACAATAAATTCTGTATCAGTTCAAAATGAGGCAATTTTACTCTTTACAGTAAATTATGAATTGGATCAAAATAAGGAAAATTTACTCTTTACAGTAAATTCTGTATTAGTTCAAAAAAGGGAAATTTATTTACCCTTTACAGCAAATTCTGTATTAGTTCAAAATGAGGTAATTTTATCTTTTGCAATACCAAATGAGGGATTTTTACCCTTTGCAGTAAATTCTGTGTTAGCTCAAAATAAAGGCAAAGTAATCCTTTACAATAAATTCTGTATTAGTTCAAAATGAAGAAAATTTACTCTTTACAGTAAATTCCGTATTAGTTAAAAAAAAAAGGAAAATTTACCCTTTACAGTAGATTCTGTATTAGTTCAAAATAAGGAAAATTTACCCCAGTAAATTCTGCATTTTGAAGTTTGCTGGCTCTGATGATTAATTATGCCCAAACTAGAAATTAAATCCCAAATATCCCAATTTTAGACACAACATTTCTGATCCAGGATCTCTTCTGGTCCCTCAGAGTGAGGTGAATAAACACTTGACCTGGATTTATGCAAATATTTTGATTTTAAACCAGATTAAAACACCAAAGAGCAACAGGCCAGAAATAATTCAAAGGAAAGAAGAGGCTGAAATGAAGGAATTTTAATTTCTCTGTCATTTTGTGCTGTTTCCTTTTTTTTTTTGGTGGATATGGACAGCCCACATTTGTGTTTTAGGGCATTCCCAGATTAATTTCAGGCAGAAATGTGATTTATTTCCAGCTGAAATGCTGGGTTTGGGGGTATTTTACAAAGATGAGGTAGAAATTG